ACTCCAATGGGTTAAGCACTGATTTTCCATGAAGAAATTTAAGGACTGTTTAGAAATGCCAAAATGTGACTGCCTTAAATATAATCAAAAGTTCTCAATATTCAGGGGGTGACAATGAACTTTAGATGGTGGTAGTTTGATCCAACATTGGAGTCAGATCATAGGATTAAAAAAAATTTTTATTCCATTAAAGATAAAAGAAGAAAAAAATGCATTTTCAATAACATTGTATGGTTTTATTTTAATTGCCATTTAAAAATGTTTATTTTTCAGTGTTCTTGCTTTGCTGCCAAGTAAAACATTTTTAATAGAGTAGCAATATAATCATAGGTGATTTTTAAAGCAGTAGACATTTTCAATACGATTATTTAATCACTTAGTTTTATAGTAGCTCAAAATACCAATGCCTTAATGAACTGCTTGTACATTCTTAAAGCCAAAGTACTTGAAAAAGCATTTTGGTTTCTTATTTTTGAAATCATATTGTTCCATATTTTCATCTGTTCTTATACAGAAAATCAAGATTGTCCTTGCTTTCTGATAGTATAGACAAAGTGATAAAAGTCCGCTATTATTTAATCATTTCATTACAGTATGAAAAAAATCCAACAGTTTACCAAAAGAGACCAAACAATTAGCTGAGAAGTTAGACTTTTTACTGGTATGAATTCAAGCTTTTAAAAACTTGATAATAACAAATATCAATGAATAAGTCAGATAAATAAGATGATAAGGCACCAAGACCAAGCTTTTGTGGCTTTCAAAGAGAACCAAAGTTTGTTAGAAAACGCCTGGTTCTATTAGTCTTAAGGTCGTCATCTATCAAATGGGAATGGAAATGTGTGTCTCACAGAAGGTCATAGGGATTTAATTTGTTAATTGGTGTATGTAAAAGTCCTTTGAAAACCATATATCTCTCTCCCAAATATATTATTAAGTCAATTATATTCCAAATTTAAATTATATGAAGTTTGAACATGAGTTTCCACTGAGTGAAGGTAAAGGAAGGTAAATAAATTACAATGTTTTTTGCCTACCTTTGGGCATGGCACCACGCTAGGTACTTAATAGGGATTATTTCAGCCAGGTTTTTAGGGGGGTCGGGGTGAAGGTGGTTAGAAAATTTAAAGCTGTAGATATCTACAAAAAAGAACAGAAAAGCCATTCATACTCTGCCACCAAAAATTAGATTATCTTCCCAACATATTTGCTTCCAGTCTCTCTCTTTCATGAAAAAAAAAATCAATTATTTTCTTTAACATAATGCATGCTAATTTTAAACATTCAAATTATGAAAAATTATGCAAAGAAAATGAAAAACCTCAATCTAAATAAAATTCTCCTTCAAAATAAAAGTTATTAAAATTTGGTAATATTGCAGCCATCTTTCTACGCATATAAATACAGAAAAGTAGATTGATAGAAAGATAAATGCATAGAAAGAGAAAAATACTTTTATAAAAATGGGGTCATACCATAAATACTACTTTTAAAATCAAGTCACAGAGTTGAATTTTATTTTAGTTTAATAAAAGTAAAAATAAAACAAGGTAAACAAAAGAGGATTTTGAACTTCTAATAAATGATTTGAGATGACACAGATATATTTTTTTTCTAAAAGATTCCTCTAAGGGTAAAAGATGCACTGAATAATAAGGTCAGAGTGTTTATGCTTTTAAAAATTAATGCATATATTTTTTTAATCTATTGACGTTTTGCTATGAAAGAAGATGATATTAGCACTTACACTTTTCTAACTATATTTCTTCCCCCACTCCTCATTTTTCTAGTTGTACTGCTATTTTTACATTATCCAAGTTTATAGCATTCATATTCTGTTCTGCACGCAAACTAACATGGTTCTTAAGTGTTAGTTTTATATTTAAATGTATTCAATGTCCGTTCTGTTCCTCCTTAATTCTTGAGATCTATATATTAATTCTTTTTTAGTTGTATGGATTTCATTGTTAAACCATTTCTTTATGAATAGTCATTTATGTTATATTCTCTGGAGATTTATATTTTCTTTTTGATGTTAAAGAATGTTGCATGCCATTATATTGGAAAGATATCTTAATGGGTGATCACAGTCATGTTACTCCTTCATGCAGAATATTGTAGACTTTTCTCCACTATCCTCTGGTATAGAATGCTACAGCTGTAAAATCTGAGATGAATCTGATTTTTCTTTCCTTCTTTTAGATGATTTGTTGTTTCATCCTGGTCTTCTTGCAGTCTTTAACTTTGAAAATCAGTCACTTAACTAACGTCTTGGTGTTGAGTGTTCTCTCTCAAATGTCCCTGGAATGCGGTGTATTCTTTCAACTCACAGGAAATTTTTTGATGATGTCTTCTCATACATTTGTTTGATTCCCTATTTTAGTGACATCAAGGATCTTTATGTTGGATCGTCTTTATCTATTTTTCTTGTCCATTGCCTTTTCTTCAGTTGCTTTATTACCTATGTTTTCTCAACGGAATTAAATTATAATCATCTCAAATCTTCCATTTAAGTCAGTAATTTGACTTTCAGTAGGTGTCTGCTTAGTTTCTTGCCGACTGTAATTGACTTTGTTCATTAATGATACTGTTTTGGTTGTGATTTGTATCCTTAAGTTTGCAAACCCCTAATTTTTTGGATACTGTTGTTTGTTTTTTTCATCTTGCCATTGAGTTATGTTGTTTTTTTGAACTAATGTTCTTATTCTATAGCATGGAACAATTTTGAGAAATTTCCTAGGTTTCCTTGAGTTATATTTTCTTCCAGATTGGGTTGTCTATTTTTGGCATGCTACGCTTTTCACTTTTATCGTTGTAATATATTTGCGTAGTTACTATTTTATTTCTTCTCATTTTGCTTGTGCTTAAGGAACTGCACAGACAGTTCATTTATTCCTTTACAGAGAGGGATGTTTCTTAATTTTCTTCTCATCATATTGGGGACCTGTTTGTTTTCTCCCCCTTAGCTCCAATTTAGAGGTTGGCTAGAACAAGAGCACCTACATTTTGTAGCCTGAGGGAATGGTGGGGTTGAGGAAAGTTCATCCTTTATTTTAATTCTTTGGTGCTTCTCTCTATTTTAAGTTTTTTTTTTGTTAGTGGGAAGAGTTGTTCCAGTGTGAAGTGTTAGATCCAGAAGGACATGAGAAAGTTATCCACTTTGGAATATGGCTATGCTCCGAATGCCAAAGATCAAGTGTTGTGAAAGAGGGCATCCAGGCAGGAGGGAGACCCCGCACAGGGTCAGAATCTGGCGACACGAGGAGGGAAGGGACAGTCCAGCAAGTGGTGTTAAGGCTGGCATGGGAGCAAAACTGGCAGCAGATGTTAGAACTCATGCGGGATGAAGAGGACCTTCAACAAGGGGAGCGGGTAGCAGTAATTGTAGATTAATTATGCACAGGGGTATTGAACAAATGCATAAGTACATTGAGGATAATGAAAACCAGGGTTCTCACAGTCTGAATACAGGGTTACAAATATGGACAGAGGAAAACTAGAACAAACTCACTATAGATCACTATAGATAGATGGAGGTATGAAATACGAAAACACAATATATATGTAAATATACGCATACATATAATTATATGTAAATTATATGTATTAATATATATTGGTTTACATACACATATATATATGTAACCTACACACACACACATACCCTGAGAGGGCCTCAGATTTCGGAAGAACACCTCAATAACAATGAGTATACTTTGGCACTTTGGATCCAGATCATGGTTTCTAAATACTGTTCTTTAATAAAAGGAGCCAGGTTTTCTTAGAAAAAGAATGCCTACTTCCATGATTGGGGCAGGGGAAATACAAGATGCTTCTAGAACATTTTCTTGTACCAGAAAGTAAGGAAGAGTTCAAAGAGTAATAGGTACATGTCAAGAAGACAAAGAAACCAGCCTGCACAGTCTCCTGCTGGCCAAGTCAGTGATAATTTGGGTATCAAAGTGAACAGTAATCAATTCTAACTTGTTTAATAGAATAAACTATGGTTTCACATTGATAGATTAGATCATATTCACAGAAACATGTGCATAAAAAATTTAAATGTTCAATGAGGAACAGCATATTTGCACCGTAAAATACTAACTATAAAGGAAAAAAAGAGTATAGTGGAGAAGTCTGGCAGGCAGCACCTTCATCAAGTGACCAAAGTTGATTTCAAAAGTAATGGGACAAATACAAGTCCTGCACCACCTGATAGGACGAGATATAGCACAGAGCCTCCCCGAAAGTGATCACAGAGAAACAGCAGACAGAGTGGTGCCCCCCGTGGGGGAGGGGAATGAGGGATGGAGGGCAAGACAATGAGATCAGTGTACTCTGGCTGGCAGGGGATTCTTTTTCATAGTGATAAGTTTTTTGAAAAAGAGCCAATTTTCACTGGTTTTATTATTGATTTGTTAAAGTCTTTATAGACCCTTTTACTTATTACCTGCATCCTCAGTATACAGCTTCTGCCAGGACCCCTAACATGCCTTTGGTAGCTGACTGCTCAGACAAGCCCAAATTGAGCGAAACTGCCAAATGACTGCCTTGTAATCTTTGAGGGTGTCAAAGTTAGAGGAATCAAGGAAAGACTGGGGAATTGTTTCACACTGAAGGAAACTTAAGAGACGTAACAATTAAAGGAAATTGGTGATTCTCAACCGGATCCTTTTGGGGAAAATGGTGAAAAAGGGCCTGAGGATTAGATGCTAGCACTGAATCAGTGTTAATTTCTTGACTTTGGTGGTTTTATTGTGCCCTGTGTGGGAAATATAAACTAATGTTTTTGGGGATGATGGGACATCAGTTTGCAAAATTACTCTAAATGGTTCAGAAAAAAATTTCTTTGTACCATTCCTGCAACATTTTCTGTAAGTTTGAGATTATTTCAAAATAAAATATTTTTTTAAATGTGTATTGACTTGATATCTAATACAGACTTGCATTCGAAGCAGAGTCAAGTTTTTTCGTGTGATTTTGTTCTTTTGTTTTTCCAGGTGATAGTCGTTTGAGCCGTCCTATTTTTACCCAGGAGCCACAAGATGTCATTTTTCCTTTGGAATTATCAAACTCTGAAATCATCCTGAATTGTGCTGCTGATGGTTACCCTTCACCTCATTATAGGTAAAGTCCTATCTCTCAGCACCATACTGATTTTTTCTTTGTCTTTGAGGTAAAACATACACACACAATGAGGTGCTTAAAGTGCCCTAGTCTGAAGGGTACAGCTCAATGAATTTTTACATAGGTATACAGCTGTATGCCTACCACTCAAATTAAGATATATACATTTCCTCTACCCCAAAGTGTTCCCTCATGCCACTTTCCAGGTGATGAGTACCTCAGCCCCATCCGCAGGCAACCAGTATTATGACTCTGTCTTATTGACCAGCTTTGTTTAGCACAGTTCTTGAAATTGGTGGCATGCAGTGCCGTGTTGTGGTTGAATTGAGAGAAAAAAAAGAAAAGAAAAAGAAAGGAATAAAGGAAAGAAGAAAGAAACAAAGAAAAAGAAAGAAAGAAATAAGGGAAAGAGGGAGGGAGAGAGGGAAGGAAGGAAAGATAGATAGGAAGAAAGAAACAGGAAGACAGAAAAAAAGAAAAATAAAGGAAAAAGACAGGAAAATAAAGGGAAGGAAAAAATTTGTTTCCTCAACTTGAAAGACTGTAAAGCACAAGCTCATTTCGTTCTCCTCTCGCCCCAGTTTGGGGCTCCTGCCTCGGTTGCCTCATATACAATCACTGTGAAATATTCCCCTACGAGGAATTAAGACGGGAACTTTATTCTGTTAGCTCAATTTCTGTGATTGGACTGGCATGTTTCATCACCCAGAAAACACCGATTTTAGAAATATATGGTGGAGACAACCATGTACCCTCTAAGGCAGAAAAAGAACTTTTATTCTGGGCAAGTAAAATAATCGTATTTGTTTCTCACATATTAGCTGCGGAATTATATGGAGGAAGGGTTAGTAATGCTTTTGTTCTTACAAGGTTGCAGTAATGGCAGAATTTGATCCAGATTGTGGGTGGCATTCACAAATTTAAAAATATATACATGTATATATTATACTTGTGTAAATAATAAGCATATTTTCTTAGTAAGAACTGCATATATGCAGTGTGATTATAAAAAAATTCACAAACAGAACAAATATTAAAACACTATTGTAGCTTTGAATTTTAAAAGCATTTATTAAAAGTCTTAATTTTTAGCAGTGAATCTGAATCGTCACACAAAAACTAATGTTTTCAGTCTGTTTTGTAGAATCAGTTGGTTTTACCTAGCTTTGATGTTGCTTTAAAAATGCCATATTTATGTGTATGATTACTTTGATCTTAAAATTGTCTAGATTAATTAAGTTGAATGACTTAAATACACAATACTAAAGACAAGTCTTCCTTATCTTGTATTTTGTTGAGCCAACTTCGCGTCTTTTTTTTCGTTTTACAACAAAAAAGCTGAAAAGCTATGTCTTCTCATTACACTTACTAAATCTTCCCTGTCTTTAGGATACACAAACCAGTGAAGGCCATGTGTTAAGTGAAGATTGTTGACTTTACAAATTGCTTCACCCAATTCAGGGTTGGTTGGTTGGTTTGTTTCCTTAAATAATGAGCTGTCTTACTTAATTTAACATATGGCTAAATATATAAAAATCTGATTAACACGTTTTTCAGAATCACCTAATAATTTAAAGTTGTAGTTTTATTTTTGAGAGCTAATTTCATTGATCATAAAGGTGGTAGGATTTGTTAGAGAAAGGAAAGAATATATGAATCCCCATAAACTAAGAAACACTTGCTAAGTATAAGTAAGATAAATCATCAATTAATCAATCGTATACTTACATAAAAATATCTATTGGCTTGTAACAGGCAGAACAATATAAAACAGTGATTCTCACAACAATTTGCGAATTAGTTTTATCTAGGAAGAAGTACACTGAATGAAGAGACTACAAATTTTAATGTTGTTAAATGGCTTCGGTTTCTATAAAACCTGTAAATTAGGAGGCTAAAGACAGGTAATTTAGTTTCTTATTTCCAATCCCCATAACCTGGTTTAGCTCATCTCTAGTATTATAGTATAAAATACTCATAGGCAAGAGGCTTTGGAAAGAGAGTGAGAAAAGAATTAAGTTTTTAATACTTATATGTCAGACTCAGACCCAATTTTCTTGATAATAAAGCAAAGGGCAGAGCAATTTCAGATAACGCACCTTAGCAACAAAATGTGAAATTTCAGTTTTAATATGACCCTTTCTAACTTAAACTTTATTAGAAAAACTCATAATCATATTCATCTTAGATTGTGTGTATGTGAAATAGGGGGAAAATCTTTATCCTTCAGATTCTAACATTGTTTGAGGTTATTTGGATATAGTATTTAGCCATAGAAAAGAGACCTTGACTTAGAAAGAAGAGTTATCATTTCTAGTGACAACTCTGTCATTCTGTCTGTGATCTTGGAATAATCATTTCTCTCTCCTGGCATCAGCTTCCTTATCCATAAAGTGGGGATGGGTTTGATTTTAAGATGTGTTTTCTTTCCTCTAGTAAATTCCATTTAGCTAACGAAATCTCATGAGGAAAATAAGGAAAAATTTAAAGAAGAACTTTGGAAATAGTTTAAAGATAACTTGTTTAAAGTCACTTCCAGTGAAGTTAACACCTTTACAAACAGGATTTCAGTGAGTGCAAGAAGATATAGAAATGTCAGCCAAGTGTGGACAAAAATTTCTCATGGAAAGGATCACTCTTTGTTCTTTTAAAGACCGGGTAACATTTGAGAATTAGAGTCTAGCCAGGAAGCTTTGCAAAGGGAAAAAAAATGGGTTACCCAAAGACAGTACTTGGGTAGGATTTCTTATACCTAGAAAGTCTAGGATAATCAGATAGCTATGAGCTTAGTTCCAGCTCAGAATACACATTTTATTTGGGAAAATGAAGGAATACACACATAAGTTATTTCTACATGGGATGCACTCTACGAGAAAAAGTTCTTTGGATATCACAGAGGATTTCTGACATGTCTCCTCTTGACCTGGTCACCAGAGGAGGCTCCTTTCTGTAATTTAGTCTACACTACAGCAGTCATAGAGACATTCTTAAGTCTAGAGAAGCTCTAGGCATTTTTCAGTGAAAACCATACATAGCCACTTTGTCCTTCTGTTCTTTTCATCCATTTCCTCACTTGATCTTCTTAACAACTTCATGGGGAAAAGCAGGATATATATTATATATTATTGGGAAAGTTTTATAATCGATAGAAATGACTTCTGGAGAATTTGGGTGACTTGTTCAAGGATACACAGTAAGGAAATGTCAAAGCCAGCCCTAAGACTCTTTCCACAACATCAATGGTGTCAAATTTAGTGTGCATTACAATTACTCAGAGAGACTGTTAAAAATTTACATTGTAGAGTTCTTCAGAGGTCTAGGGATGGTCCCAGAAACAGGCACATTTAACAAGCACTCCATGTAATTCTAAAGCAAGGTCCAGTTTTGAAAAACACTCACACACACAAACACACACACGCGCACACACACACGTGCAAACATAGCCCCCAGCCATTGTAGTCTTGACGCAGGGCTTAACTGCTTAATACTGAAGGATATTCCCCATCAAAAGGTCAAGATTTTACTTCAAATCCATTATGTTTCCTGGAATTATTATGATATTAATGCAGATGCTTAAAGTACTCATTTAAAGCATATTTCCTAGTTTGCATCATCAGGAAATTCTCCTGGGTATGCAACCCTATCAGTAACGTGTGTATGACACACACTTGAATTCATTAATACCATTTCTCCATTGATTTAAACATATTAATTAGGACAAAGCCCACACTAGGAGTTGAACCCCTGATCTATATGCACAGTTTAATAATCATGGTACCATAGTGATTAGAACGATTACGGGGATACTGTGAAAAATTCATTTGCTGCAGCTAAGCCAACAACTTTGAATTTGTGTTGAAAAACAATTACTGAGCTTAATTAGGAGCATGTAATGATGACAGCAGTTATTTCAGTGATTGATTCCAAAGTTAAAGAGAGCTGGCAAACTAGGTACGGTATATCCTTTGCTTTGAAAATGAAAGGGAACATAGTGGTCCAAAGATCATGCCCTGTAAGCAAATTATGAAAGACAGTCTTACAGTGCTGGCAAGGAGAATATTGGAGTCTTGAGATAGTCTTCTCCTAATATTGAGAACACGAAACTGTACAAATTTCTCTGGGAAAAAAAGTTTGGCAGAAAGTTCTGGCAAACAAAATGTGCTATTTTTGACTGTTGTCTTTTAACTTCCTTTTGTTAAAAAGAAGTTGAGGTGCATAAGAAAAGGCTAAATAATTCAAAAGTGACAAAGTTGGTTCAAAACCTCAGGTTGATTTATATTTGGTCAATAGCTTCTCATCTTTAATAGGGTAGATTACTACCTAAGTTCGTATTTCTTTTCCTCAAATGGTATACATTTGCTAGACTCTGTCCGTGGGATGTTTCAAGATGCTCCTAAAAAGTCAATGAAATTTGTAATAATTCTGTAAAATGTCATTCCTTTCTTACAATTAGCCAACCCAACCAAAATATTTTTAATATAATCTAAGTATGAAAGTAAGAATCATAGCAAAGTTGGCATTGGTTTGGAAATATGATTTGGAAATTGGCTATATTCCATAGCCCTTCCACTTGTTTTTCTAAATGACTGATTGTCTTAATACAATCTATTCAATGTTTTTTAAAACGCTTTATGTGACTACACACAGCTTGTGCCCTAGCAATGTATCTCGCTAAATATGCAATATTCATACCTCAAAATGCCTGCATATTTCGATGAAAGTTAGGGAGTTACAAGGTGGAGGAAGTGGGTTCAGTTAGAAATAATTACTGGGTATTCTTAAAATGACCAATGAAGTTCCTAAAACATCTTATGTTTCTTTGAAAATGAATATAATTTTAAGTCCCTTCTGCTACTTCATTCATGTACTAAAGGATTGTTGTCTAATAGGTAAGCCAAGAGATTTCTTTTTTTGGCAAGGAAGATTGGCTCTGAGCTAACATCTGTGCCAATCTCTCACTATTTTGTATGTGGGATGCCGCTACAGTAGGGCTTGAGGAGAGGTGTCTAGGTTCACACTGGGGATCCCACCCCTGGAAGCCCAGGCCGCCAAGGTAGAGTGTGCGAACTTAACCACTACACCACTGAGCCAGCCCCAGGCCAAGGGACTGTTTGATGCTTAAAATAAAAACCTCTCAAACCGCATTCATTTTGTTAAAGTATAATTTTACTTTGGCATTTCTAAGTACTGTTGAAATAGTTTCAGTGTGATTAATTTTCCAAGTAAGAGACTGAGACAATCATGTTCTAAAGTAGTCAGCTCATTATTGTTTTGTTGTCAGCCTCCAATAGGCATTGTAAAATCTTTGCTGGTTTCTTTGTGCCATTTGTAATATAGCACTCTTCTTGGATTTCTATCTCTAAATCATTTTTGACATTCAATTTTGCGGTATCAGTTGTGGGTGCTCAGGTATGGTATATGTTATCCAAAAAGTTGCCAAAGGAATAGCATGGCCAGTATTATTGACTAAATGTCTAATTTTTATTTCTCATGTCAAGACTTCTGTCGCCTCTTTGTACACATTTGAGTGAATTTTTGTACTTTGTAAAGAGTGGAAGATCTTTAAAATAACCTAGATGTTGATATCTCTGAGCCAATGAAGACAATTATCTTGGAGGAACTGGTATAATTGTCTCCATATGTAAGCATGTTTTTGTTTTTATTTTTTTTAAATGGTGTCAGAAATTACAATTAGATGTTGTTTAAGACAAATAGTGGTCAAATCTGCATATTATAAGCATAATTTGATTTTTTTTTCCCTTGAAGGTGGAAGCAAAACGGCAGAGATATTGATTTTACCATGAGTTATCACTACAGGTTGGATGGAGGCAGTTTGGCAATCAGTAGCCCCCAAACAGATCAAGATATTGGCACATACCAGTGCCTGGCCACCAACCCTCTGGGGACGATTCTGAGTCGGAAGGCGAAGCTCCAATTTGCATGTGAGTTTGTGGGAAAAACCTATAATCCTTGTGTTTCTGAAAATATAATATTCTTATTATATTTATACTAGAAAAAAATACAGCTTTGCCAGTCATCTGCTCTTTGAGAGCAAATTCGAATTTATAGAGGCGAGAAGTTCTAACCGTGTGCATTTTGTGAATTTGGACTCCTGGGGATTGTTGAAATGTGTTTCAAAAAAAGAAGAAAATGTCATTGTTATTATATTTGTCAATTATATTGAGAAACAGCTCAAAAACTTCCAGATATAAATGGTAAGATAAAGATATGTGATATATTACTATTTTTCTTTTTCTTTTGCATTGGGTATTAGTGTGCAGAGCACAGGAAGAAAAAGCCAAAGACAGAGATGTCTTTTGGGGCGGCGGCTGTACTCCTAGGAAATGTGATCATGCACCCACAGTTTGATGTAGGTGGAAATAAAGTGGTTGCCAAAGGCAGACTTTATATTAACTGTAACAATGTCCAGCTGCGTCACATAAATGTCATCCAAGTAATTACCTTGGTGACATTTGGGGACATTAGCAGATGAACAATAGACATACTGCCTCTTATATCCTTTATATACAATGTTTCCAGGAACTGAAATGTTTCATATTGGATCCAGGGAAAACCTTGTTTGAAAGTAATTATATCTGTTGATGTGGATGAAGTAGAAGGCTCGCATTTGTCCCTTTGCAGCTCCTCCCCCACCCCACTCCCACCCCTGCCTACCTCAGAGGGTCTATCTGGGGGCTGAAGAGTTAGCAATTACTCCTTCAGGATATTGTGGAAAGGTCTGTGCTGTCTATTACTTTGAAAAAATAATTGTTTTGAAATTTTATTAATAAAATATACGTCCAAAGCTCACTTTTTGGAACTACCTAGCCATCAGTAGATATACTAATTAATAATTGGGTCTGTGTCCCATTACAAGTCTTGTGTTCCAAAGATTCCTTGCTTCACACATAGATCCCCTTACGTTGACCATTTTGGAGAAGGCTTTGTTTCTGAATATATGTGTGTGTGTGTATGCATGTGGCCATATATATGCACACGAGCATTATCTATATGTATACAAATACATATATATGTATGTGGTCATATATATGGCCACATGCATACACAAATATACACACGTGCATTATACATGTGTATATATATACATATATACATATCTGGTCATATGTATACTCACATACATGCACACAAACACACACACATCTATATGCACACACATTGCTAAATGTATCTGAATCTATTTATATCTGTGGAAATAGAAAGATAATGCAAAAGTTTATGAAGCTAGATGGAGTATGCACAAACGCTGGTGGCTGTTTTGAAACTTAGGTAAAGATAATCACAATACTTGATTTCTGCATTTCAGCTAAGACCATCACTGGGAAAAATAATAGGGAGCAAAATACTGTTGAGAAACTTATTTTACAGATAAGCAATTGCTCTACCTCCTTTGAATGATTCTTCCAAAATAATTATTTATTTCTGCTGCTTGGATAAGTGATGACCCTAGAAAGATACACAGAATTTGTATCAGATTCCATAAGGATAAATTTGACTTTCTGGTAAAGGAAAACCCATACAGCACATTATTTGCTATACTCTTGAATTTCTTGACGGCTAAGGATTCTGTTCATTCTTGAAAACGACTGAATATCTATTCCTAAAATTAACGTGCTGTACTTTAAATAGTTATATATTTCCTCCTCTTTTTAGTCCCCCTCTTTTAACAAAAATGTTTTTTAAATCCCCTACATTATTATTTCTTACCCTTTTTCTGCTTTAAAAAATACATGTAACTAGAAGCTTCTCTAAGTTAAAATATATTCTGTCTTTGCTAAAAAAGAGGAAAGGTTTGAATTAAGAAGAAATTGTATGCTTTCTTTTGGATGATAGGGAGAAATCAATTCTTCTGTCCTTGCTGCCTTTCCTGTCTCTTCATAAAATTTTCTTGTTGGGGTTGAAGGTGTATGACTGTTGATCCCTGAAAGCATTTCTATTACTATTCATGCAAAAAGTAGAAAGACCTATATCCATTAATTGATCTTTCTTCTGCAAACTTAAAGGATCTTAGGTTTTAAGACTGAAATTTGAAAAAACAAAAACAAAAACCACATCATTCTGTTTCTTCTGTTCAGTACAGATAGTGGTGCCATGCCTGCAGTGTTTCCTGTTGAGTCCAGGAAGAGATTTGCTTGAGTGTAATTATCTCTGTTGACTTGAATCAACTTTAAACATAACTGTCACATTTTAATTACCTATAAATTATCTCCCTTCATTTCCTGTATCTCATAAATAGCCTTCTAACATCACTTAAGTCAGTTGTTCATTCCAAGTAGTAAAGAACTTCTTTAAAAAGGGTGAAAATACCTGGTCTAGCTTTGCCACCCACTCTCAGGGGTTTACTTTCTTGTACAAATGAGCACAAGGATCTTAGAGATGAAGCAAAAAAGGGTTGGTGACTTACAGCCCAGAAGCCTTCATTTACAAATCCTTTCTTCTAATTTCATTTAAGGAATATAGAATGTTAATTACGCAAAATAAACTTTCAGAAATCTCGTCCGAAGAAATCACGTGCATCCATATGCAAATCTATGCTTAATTTCAGAAATAAGTTTACTCTTCCAGAAAGAGAAAAGAGAGAAAGAAAAAGAAAAAAAAGAGAGAAAACGACAGAAGGGAAATATCTAATCAAGAATAAGTTTTCCTACGTAAACATGCTCAACATCATGAAAAATTATGGAAATGTAAATCAAAACCACAATGAGATACTGCTTCATACCCATTAGAATGGCTATTATCAAAAAAAAAAAAATAACAAGTTTTGACAAAGACGTGGAAAAATTGGGACCCTTGCTCATTGCTCATGGGAATGTAAAACAGTACAGCCAGTTTAGAAGACAGTATGTCAGTTCCTCAGAAAATCAAACATAGAATTACCACATAACACAGCAACTCCACTTTTTGATATATATACCCCAAAAATTGAAGGCAGGGACTTTGGCAGATATTTACATATTCATGTTCATAGCAGCATTACTCACAATAACTAAAGGCTGAAACAATCAATGTCCATCAATAGGTAAATAGATAAATAAAATATAGTATATACATACAATAGAATATTATTCAACTTTATAAAGGAATAAAATTCTGACACATGCTACAACATGTACAAACCTTGAAAACATTCTGCTAAGTGAAATGAGTCAGACACAAAAGGACAAATATTGTATGATTCCACTTATCTGAGGTAACTATAATAGGCAAATTCATAGAGACAGAAAGTAGAATGGTGACGGCCAGGGGAAGGGTCGGGGAAAGACTGAGAAGTTAGTGTTTAACTGATAGAGAGTTTCAGTTTGGGATGACGAAAAAGTTCTGGAGATGGATGGTAGTGAGGATCACACAATGTAAATGTATTTAACGCCACAGAATTACACACTTAGAAGTGGTTAAAATGGTAAATTTTATATTACTATGTATTCTATCACTATTTTAAAAAAGTAGTATCATCAGAATTCAGTGGAATAAACTAATCATTTTATTAGGATATTTTTCTCTATCATAATTCTTAGCAAATAAAAAAGATGAAAAATGTTTTCCCTATTAAGTATCTGTTCTGGTTCTTCGTACAGAAACAGTAGAGTCTGAATGCTAGTCTCTAACCAAATGGCAAGTTCCTAAAGTGCAAGATCTGTCTTTCAACGTAATTTGAATTTCTCAGGACAGCCTCCATAAACTCCCAACAATGTCTACTTTGGTAGAAAAAATAGATAACAATGGTGGTTAAATGGTAGGATAACAATGGTGGTTAAATGTTAGGATTTTTTGATACAAACAGATTTGAGTTCCAATTCTGTCTCTGTTAAACATCCGTTGATAGAAAATTAAGCCACCTCTTAAGAACATTAAGCCTCTGTTATGAAATTTATGCAGTATCATGGGACAATGACATGGATTAACTGAGATAATGAATGAGAAGCCCCTTGTCCATTATAGGCACTTAGGAAATGATAGCCCTAATTCTTCTTCTCATTTTTATTACCTCCCTCAATTTGGCCAAATGTCTGCACATTTGAAACTGCTACAGTTACTCTTAGAAAAATCTACTAGTTTACATTTTAAAACCTTTCCAGACCAGTTCCTTGTTCTCTTATTTTCAAGACTTTCAGGTGGTTTGACATATATTACCCAGTTCTTTCTTGAACTGGGTAACAACTATAGGAGGCTACTGTTGTTCCCATTTCACAGATTAAAAGCCTGAGGCTCATTGTGATTGAGGCTTTTTTAAGGTACGTCGTTAGAGAACCGGTTGGAACTTGAGTATAAAAGTTCAGACTCTAAGACTCATTCCTTGCGTGTTGCAGTATTCAGTCCTTTTCAAACACTACCCACACACATCAATTGGGCCTTCTTTCTTTTCTTTTTTCAAAGATTTTATTTTTCCCTTTTGTCCCCAAAGCCCCCTGGTACATAGTTGTATATTTAGTTGTGGGTCCTTCTAGTTGTGACATGTGGGACGCCACCTCAGCATGGCTTGATGAGTGGTGCCATGTCCCAGGATATGAACCAGCAAAACCCTGGCCTGCCGAAGCAGAGCACACAAACTTAACCACTCAGCCACGGGGCCGACCCTTGGGCCTTCTTTCTTTGTTTCATTTGCTATTGGCGTAATAATTGTCAAAATAATAAACCATACCTGCAGACAGTAAGCTTCCCATTAAGCCTGATGGTAGATGCTGTTGACGCCCTGTGTAGATCCCCTTTAATGGGCAGTGTGCCCATCTCTAGCTATTGATGCCCACAGCTGCCCTTGTTCTGCAATTCATGCCCAGAGCTCCCCATGGAATCAGGCTAAAGCTAGACAACAGCTGGGAACCCCTTCTCGCTTAGCTCCTTCTTTCCCCTGTTCTATCCTGCTTCCCTCCCTCCCTTTCTTCTAGGAGTGCTCCCTCAATAAATCATATGCACTTGAATCTCT